GTCCGATGCACACAGTGACTAGTATATTGTATTTTTGTCTGTCCACCTTGCGTCCTCCTCTTGTTACCTAAACATGAGACAAAGGATTGTCCTAGGTTTTTAGCTATGTATTTAATATGTCATTCATCTTGTATGGAATAAAGATGATTTTAACCCCCGTCTCAGGCCTTCAACTTTGACATGCTACCCACAATGCATCATGCCACCCATGCACAGTTTAAACTGCAAGTCTGCTTATTGTCAGATCAGTGCACAAAATGTAAGAAAACCTAGTCTGTGTTTGTCAGAAAACAATACACCAAACTAGAAAGGTAACATTTGCAAAGCAAATGCATAATATTTACCTTCACATGTGGTCTGCTCTGTTAATTCTTACTCAAATACATTCAGAATTATAATAACTATTATATATGGTCAGACAGGAGTCTAAGTGTCTCCTACTATAAACTTGCAACATGATGTAACCCAACACCAATTACCATGGTGACAGACGTCAACAAATCAGGTCATTGGCCAGGTCAGAGGTTATTTGGAACAGAAGAAATTGAGTAAAAACAATATGTTTTCCTTCGGTAAACATAACTAGAAATGAGATGAAACTGTATAATAATATTATTTATACACAATATAACTATTGTAACCTCTCAGTTTCAGATTGGTTAAAACACCATTTTCTAATTTCAATTATCTGTTCTCCAGCTAAAAAAAGACAGGTCTAGATCCCGGTCAGCAGACATGAAGTCCGTGGCCATCCCGCTGTCAGACCAGACCAGCGAGGTGCAGGTTGTCACCACGGTCACCACTAAAGGCAGCGGAGCTGCGCCCGTCAGGGTCGTCCGTAACCCTGGTCAGGTGGAGGTCAAGCGGAAGATGCTGAAGGACATGCAGACTTTACAGACTTCCCTCCGCAGAGACGACTTGTACTGGGACTGCTGATGCTGGGACTGAGATTACTGTGGTTTATGGTGTTCTGGGAACAAGAAGATAATTGGGACATGGCACTTGCCGTACATTATGGTGATATCGGGTAGTAAACACATCTTGTAGTGCCCTTAAGTGTTTTTTTTTGTTTCTATACTGGTGTTTGTATGCATTCAAGTTTGAAGCGTTACTGATTAAAAATGTGTAAAAATGTGAACATGTGTATGTTAGAACTCTTACTGAGTATATTTAGTTTTCTTGTCCTACTGTAGTGAAATGTACTCGAAATGATGGAATGTCTTGCCAGTGTGTGTGCGTATATACATTTGTACAGATTTTTATTTAAAGTCCATTTTTAAAAATCTATTTGTTTACATTCATATCATATTCAGAGTTCTTGTACAAACACATGTATGAGATACATGTAGTAAGGAAAGTTTGAGTATTCCAGCCAACAACGATGATAATCCTGCAGCTCTAACAATTAACTTAAAAGCAAAAACAAACAACTTCTGAAATGATATTTGCTGTTGTATAGTTTCTACCAATTACATATGTGTGGGATTCCTTCTTTGAGTAAGGGTATTAGTTTCATGTTATTGTAGATCTGCTCAAAATTCTAGCACAAGTTTGGGGTGTAAAAGATAGTATTCACCGCAGCTGCTTATGTTCCACAGAATATACAATGTACATGAAATAGGCTCATACAAGAAAACTTACTTACATGTATCCAACTCTCCTACTCAAAAGCATCTAATCGTTTTCTAGATCTAGAACAGGCCCTTCCAGAGTCACAAAAGTTATAAGGCAGCTTGCTACAAAAGTACTTCTGGTGTGCACTCACCTTAGCCTCTACCAGGCACCGCGGATCGCTGGAAAAATAGTAGAAATTGGCCAAAATAAAGGAATAATATACCAGGAGAGAAGCCGGCCAGAAAAGATCCAATTTGCAACCCACACTACCTCCCCTGGTATATTATTCCTTTATTTTGGCCAATTTCTACTATTCTTCCAGCGATCCGTGGTGCCTGGTAGAGGCTACACTCTACTGTACTTGAACAGAAAATGAAAGCCAGCCAGAAAAGAGATTCTCAGCTGTTTTCAGTATCTTTCACTATCCTATCAGAATAGACACATTTTATTGTGCTGATATTTTGTGAAATCTAGGAAATTGATAAACAACTAGACAATGCTGGTGATCAGCATATTCTGATACCTTTTATATTGTAGTACTTGTAGTTGGTGAGAAGTTGGGGGGATTTTTGACAAGTCCAGGGAAAATGCAGCAGAACCATGATCTTATACAGTCAGCATTGTTCACTGCTAAACCTTTTTGACATAAGTGTGAGGATATTGCCTTGCAATTGCATAATGAAATGTTGCAGCTTTTATGGGTATATTGTCTTGTTGAGCTTTTTATATACATGTATGAATGAAGAATCAATAAAAATAACATCCATGTACACGTTCTTATTATTTGTAACTAGCTGTGTCATCTCCAACATTATTGGTTGCCAGCTACATGTATATTTTTATTATATATTTTAATAGCTGTGCAATTCGATTATTACAAGTTACTTTATTTTCAGGGTTATTGTGGCATGTTACATGTGAACACAAAATGCAACAACAGCAGAAAAATGTAGTTAGTATTGATTTACATCAAAAGAACGCATTGTCACCAAGGCAGTTTGCTAATTGAAAGGCATAACAGAGAAAATCAATTTGCCATGGCACGTGAAACAAAATTTCGTCCCTACCAGCTTGATGGTTGATTAAGAGCACCCTATCAACATATATGATGCATACATGTAGCTACACAGGGTCTTTCTTGCAAGCACAACAAATTTGGTTCACTCACAGAGACATAAACCTTAAAAACGAAGTTT